CATCGGGTTAGCCGGTCTGGCCTTCTCCCTGGTCTTCGGCCGGGCGGACGTGCAGGCCTGGGCTGAGGAGCAGACGCTGACTCGCCTCTGAGCGGCCGCGGCGACCGCTCGGCTGAAACCCGTTTCCGGCGTCTTCTCGGAGACCTTGGCCGTGTGACGGCGAACTGTGACCGTGCGGGGGCTTCACAGGGGAGAAAGGGCAGCACAGGCATGGCTCACTGCGTCCTGAACACGACACACGCCTGCGGGCTGTGGCCGTCCCCGCCGTCCCCGCCCAGACTGTCTCACCAGAGCGTGACGAGGCGCGTGTGTGCTGCGGGGTCCCCTCGTTGGGAGCCAGTCTGCGCTAGGAGGGTGAGCACGGCCCCCGCGAGGCCCGGCACCACCCGCGCTCCTGGCCCCGTCGGAGGACTGGTGCAACCGGGGGGTCTGGAAGCTGGGCCCAGCGGCCTCCTCCTGGCCCCGGTGTCCCTCACAGCCCCGTGTCATGTTCTCGACAGCCCCCAGGGAACATGGCCCAGGCGCTAAGCCAGGCCGGCAGTCCCGGGCTCCCCCACACTCGGGGAGGAAGGCGCACTCTGCTTTGGGCTGAACACTGACATCCCTTTTTGTATTTGGAGTTTTTGGTTGGAATGTGCGCTCGCCAGAGAGACAGAGAGACAGGCCGCTCCGGGGAGCGCGGGCCCGCTGCTGTCCTGCCTCCGTCTCTCCCTCACTTGGGGACGTAGGGCCTGTGTACCCGCGCCCGGCGTTTCTCTAAGCCGCCGGGTCCGAGCAGTCGGCCACGTGGGATCTGACGACCTCCACCACCAGCCTACGGGGCCGGCCCACGTGTCAGCCACACAGACGTCTTCTCGGGGAGACAGCCACTCCCGCCGCCGCTGTGCCTCGGCTGTTGTGTGCGTGTCAGCTGGGACATGAGCTGCCACGTGAGGATGCCCCAAAGCGCCACCCGGCGGGACTGAGTTGTATGAAAGGAGTTCAGTAAGTGTAATCCCTCTACGTTGCCTCAGGGTCGGCCTCTGAGTGTGAGAAGGCCCCGCTGGATTCCGGTGTGTTTGTGGAGAGGAGGAACAGGCAGGCACTTACAGCCACACCCCTGGGGTCCCGCCCCACATTTCTGAGGCCTTGGGGCCGCCCACACTGCTGGAACCCTGGGGGGATACGCCTCTGCTCTCCCCATGCTCCCAGCCTCAGCTGCCTGCAGAAGCCTGCGGTCACAGACTAAGACCTAACAGGCGATCAGTGGTGCGTCTTGTCCCAGGGGCAGGCGGTTGACTCCATGCCGAGAAAACATTCGATGTCTCTCACCGAAATGGCACTGCTTTAAGTCACAGTCCATCTGAGAAAGCAAGGCCTCTCTTCCCTACTCTCTCATGGCCTCCCTTCAGCAAAATTCTTCCTAGACATTTCTGATGAGTAGTTCTGTAGCGACGCACGCGGTGGTGAAACACCGGGCCTCCGGCGTGGGTGCCGGGGTACGGACGTTACGGAATTCCGAAGTCGGTGTGAGGGTGGCTTCTAGATGCTGATCAGGAGGTGGTCAGGAGCAGCCGGTGGCGTTAAGGCAGTTCGGGAATGAAGCGGAGGTGGAGAAAGGCCGGGCGAGGATGCAGCATTGTTTTCTGAGGCCGACGGGTGGCATGGCGGTAGGCACTGGGCTCCCACATGGCCGACTGTGGTTGAAACCCTGGACCTGGTGGCTTGCTTTCTCACTCTCCCTCTCTCTCTCTCTTTCTCTAGTGAATGTACATGCCCTAAGGTGAATTAAAAATAATAACAGTAATAAATAAAACACACGATTCTTTTTTAAAAATGTGTATTTTCTCTCTAAGATGAGGAGTGAGACAAAGATGCCCACGCTTGCTGCTTTCACTCAGCCTTTAGTGGAGACTTTAGGGCGATTAGACAGAAAAAGGAATCACAGGCTTCAGAGTAGAAGAGAAGAAGTAACTTCCACTCACAGGTATGTAATCTTACCTACGGAAACCCACTGGAAACTATTAGAACCAATACCTGCGTTTAGCCAAGTCGTAGGACACAAGATCAACATATTCAATCAACTGAATTTCCATACACTTATAATAAGAATCCAAAAAGTAAGTGAATAAAACAATTCTAATAAAATACAAATGTACTTTAAAAAGTTTCTGAAAAATGGAATTAAAATAGGAATTTATATCAGTGAAAAATATTGAAATCTATGCATAATTTCATCATCATTTGCATTTTTCACAAACTTTTGGAAGACTTTCTACTTAGAAATAAGCTTACTAAAAGAAGAGATAAAACTTAAAACTATAAAATATTGTTGAAAGAATTAAAGATGTTCTAGTCTGATCAGGCTGTCCTATCAAAATACCATTTCTTCACATCATTTACAAAAATGAACTCAAATCAAAGACCCAAACGGGAGAGCTAAAGTATTAAACATCTTAGAAGTAACTCTTCATGACTTGGGATTTAACAACATGCCACCGAAAGCGTAAGCAATAAAAGAAAACACAGATAAACTGGACTTCATAAAACCAAAACGCCGTGTGCGTCAGAGGGTATAAGAAAGGGAAGACAAGCTACAGGATGGGGAAGACTAACTTAAAAAATCACATTTCTTCTTCTTTTTTTTTAAATACGTTTTTGCCTCAGGGCATTCACGGGAAAGAGAGTCAGTGGGAAAGTGAGGAATCACCCCCAGGGGGAATGGCCGCGCTGCAATCCCTTCTCCTCCCTTCTCCTCCCAGGGTTTTGGGCATACGTGCACATGAGCCTGACGTGAGTTTCAAGCCTCCGGATTCAGGACTCAAACCACGGTCCACCATGTGGGAGTCCAGCAACATAGCCACTAAGCCATCTGCTGGTCCCTCCAAATCTCATTTCTAATGAGAGCCTAGAATCTAGACTATAGTAAGAACTCCAATTAACAACAAAGGGACAATCTACATAAAGATGGTAAGGCTTCTGAGTGAACGTTTATGCAAAGCAGACCGAAGACTAGCCAATGAGCACATGAACACCGGGAAAAGGCCAATCAGAACTGCTGGGATCTCTTCACGCCCCAGGACAGCTGTGATGAGAACACACATCTGGGGAGTGAGCGCCCCCTGGTGGCTGACGCCGTAGAGGTGCCCGCTGAGGCTGGCTCCGCTGAGGCTGGCTCTGCTGGCGCACACCTAGGACAGAAGTGGGAGGCGGAGGTATAGGGTAGACATTCCGACATTTCTGAGAAACTGCGTCTGTACCTCCTCTCCCCTTCTCCCCAAACCCGCACCCCGCCTTTCCCTTCATCTCTGGAGTCATTCTCAACTCTCTCCCGCGTCCCTGGTTCCAAAAACTGCCTTGAATGTGCTGGCGTCCTACCTTCAGAGGCGCGTCTGTCTGTCCTTAGCCCAGTCTTGGATGTCTGCTTTCGCAAATACGAGGTAGAAGGCCACGGCCGCTAAATTGATGCCCGCCATCACCAGGACGGTTTTAAGCCAGGGAGATTCCGGATCCTGAGGGGTTCCGGGGAGAGTGCTGTCAATGATGCACTTCGCTTTGCGTTTCGTCATCTCTCTCGTTTACTGCTACACGTAACATAGACTCAGTCTGGTCACTTAAACACAGGACGCTGGGGACAGCAGATGCCCAGTGGCCACACTGTCAGTGGACTCCCACGTGGCCAACCACAGTTCGAGTCCTGGACCCGGTGGCTTGAAAATCACACCAGGCATGTGCCCAAGACCCTGGGAGGAGAGTGGGGAGAAGGGACGGTGGTGTGGCCCTCCAGATGGAGATCTCTCACTTTCCCTCTCACTGTCTCTGTCTCTCGGTTGAGTGCGTGCACCCTAAGGCAAAAACCTTTACCAAGACACTTTTGGTCCTTCCAGTCATGTAAGAGAGCAAAGCACCGCCCCCAGGACAGCACTGGCCAGACCAGTGCTCGGGGCCATGGCCGGGAGCAGTCTGAGAGCCCTGCAGGCTCCTTACCCAGAGCCTGCCCCTGCCCCGTCTGTAGACATGGGCCGAGCAGGGCATCTCCCGCTAGCTCTGGCTCTCAGCCGCTGGTCTGGGCGTGAGCTCTGAGCGAGGGCTGTTCCGGTCACCCCACGAGGCTGCGGTTCGTAGGCCGGCGTTTCCGCTCGGACTGCTTCGTGCTGCATGACTCTAGCATGTTCTCCCCAGCGGTCTGTTCTCTCAGTCTAACTGAAGATGCACATCCCTGGGGTGGATCACGGCCCCAGGTCGGTGGCCCCGATGTCATTTACCTCTCTGGAATCAAGCCCTTCGGTTCAGTGGCCCAAGTCTTCCCTGGCTGGCTTCTCAAGGCGAGGCGTGCCTTACAACAGCTGGAACTGAGCGGGCTCTTTAGGTGGTCCCGACGGGGCCTTCCCGTAACTGTCTCTGACACTCACAGGAAGCCTGCCTGAGTGAGGTGGCTTGGGGGACTTGAGTGGATTCTAACTTCTAATGCTTTTTATGACAAAATTCATCTCCTTACTCGCCACTTGGTAGTATCACTCGCCAAGTCCAACACCTGTTTGTTTCTGCTTTTGTCTTTTAAATGGTTTTTGCCTTAGTGCACATGCGCTCACCAGGAAGAGACAGACAGTGAGAGGGAAAGTGAGGAATTACCTCCGGGGATTGGCCACAGGCAATCCCTTCTCCTCCATTCTCCTCTCAGGATCTTGGGTATGCACGCACACACGCCTGGTGTGATTTTCAAACTACTGGGTCTGGGACTTGATCTGTGGTTAACTATGAAGCAGTCCAGTGACGTGACCACTACACCAGCTGCTGGCCCTGAACACCTGCTGTGACCACACACTCGTTATTAGAATTCGCAGAATTCACTTCTGCTCCAATGACCTGTGAGTGAAGACGTCTCAGCATGGCTTGTGTCACCTGCGGGTGTGGAGGGGTGCCTGGCCTAACCAAGTTCACTGTCATTTGACACAAAACTCCCAAGTCACCTCCTGCTGTTTCTGCTGCAGTTTTTCTTAAGAGAGATTTTTGCCATAGGGTATGCGTGCTCATCAGGGAGACAGAGACCAAGTGAGAACTCCCCAAGGAGTGGGCCACGCCGCAGTCTCCTCTCCCCCATTCGCCTCTCGGGATCTTGGGCATGCATGCACACGCGCCTTGCATGAGTTTTGAGTCACTGGGTCTAGGACTCGAACCTCAGCCCGCAATGTGGGAGTGCAGCAATGTAACCATTATGCCATCGCTGGTCCCTCCTCCGCAGTCTTTGTCGATCACGACTTCGCCCAGGTACACTGGGATGTAACCGCCCGTGGGGGTGTGCTCCTTACCCGACTGAGGATGAATCCCGTCAGGAGGGAGGAGAGCATTCCTCCCACCATTCCGATCAGCGTGGTCACGCCTTTAAGGAATCCATAGTACCTGTGCAGACACGGACAGAGCAGACACACAGTGACGCCGCCGCAGGGGAGGCCGGCCTGCTCCGACGAGGGTGAGTCAGCCGCTGGCCTTTTGCACGAGCCGCTCCTACTTTTCAAATGCCACTAAAACGTCGTGAAAATCATAGAAACGTAAGCAACTCTCTGGTCGCACTGCGGTCAGGAAGGTTGGCGTGAGCGGTGCGGACTGTAAGTGTGAAAACGGTGCCGTGGGCAGTCAGAAATTTCCAGATGCACTCGAGAACGTCAGATATGGAAATGCATTGGCAGGGCAAGCACGTGGCATAGTGGTTAAGGTACTGGACTCCCGCATGGCCAGTAGTTCAAGTCTCAGGCCCGGAGACTTGAAATCATCATGCAGGTGTGTACGTGTGCGTGCCCAGAATCCCAGGAGGAGCGTGGACAATGGCTGGGCTGTCGCCATCCCCCTGGGGAGCGGGGCAGTGATCTCTCTCTCTCGTTTCTTGTTGAAAGCGCAGTGAGACTGCACGTGAGGCCCGTCTGTATTAGAAGCAGGGGCACGAAAAGCTGCCAGACAAGTGAGTAAAGCGAATCTCCAAACTGTGAGGTGATGGCGGCAACCCCCTCACTCCTGTCCTGGGAGGCTGCAGTTCGCCCGTGTTCCCTTCCTGCCCCCAAGTCCTCCACCAGACAAGAGGCCACCGGCACCAGATCCTGGGCCATCACAGGGCAGGCCTCGCGCACGCTCTCCAGTCTGCGGCCGCCAGAAGAAGGGTGCCCTCCAGAGACTGTGGGGCATGCCAGCCTGTCCTCCAGGCCGGAGCACGGGCAGGCTTCCATGTGGCCGGGCTTGAGACAGCAGGCCACATGCCTCGGCCGCACGGGTCCCCGCGGCCCCACAGGGCCACCTCTGCCCAGAGGGGTGTCCGGAAGAAGGGCAGTTGGCTGTCTGTGGAGGAAGTGGACGGGACAATGCTTTCAAAAAGGCGGCGAAGTGGTGTCCTGGTCAGATCAAGGCAGCGTCCCGTGCCCCGTGCCCCGTGCCCCGTGTTGGTGAGGCCGTCCCGTGTTCCCATGCTCCGTGGTGGCGAGGCTGGCTGCAGACAGAGGCAGGATTCCATGTGGAGAAGGGAGGTGACAGGGACTTCCAGGCCACTTGAGCTCTAGCCCAGGAAGCACAGCTGGGGTTGGGTGGCCGTGACTTCGCCCAGAGCCCCCCAGCCCTCCACGTGTACTCCTCGACGTGGCCGTGGGTGTGGCTAACGTGCTGCTCCACCCCCAGGGGGCAGCTGGTTTCCTGGGCAGCCGGGCGCCATGGCTGACGTGGGTCACAGCCCCGAGTGCTCAGCCATGCCCCCAGTGCCTCCGTGTTACTCCTGGCTGATCTGAGGCGAGCACGTGGGCTTCCGGCAGGCCAGCTCTGCACACGGCGCGGGCTTTCTGGCCCCAGAGTTTGCACATCGGGATGGTGGGTGTGACTTTCAAGGCCCAGGTAGGGCAGGGTGAGACCCCGCGGCCGGGCACAGCTGCTCGGCATAGGGCTAGTAGTAGAAGCCAATTTCTGTTTTGAGAGGTTTTTGGTATAAATCCACAGCACGCTCCCTCCTCCATTCTCCTCTCGGGATTATACACACATGCCCGGTGTGAGCTTTAAGCTGCTGGGTTTGGGACTTGAACCATGGTTAACTACGTAGCCGTGACACCATCTGCTGGTCCCAAGAAGCCAATTTGCAGCTGGTGGCTCTTCCTCATCTCCCAGGTGGGCGGCAGCGTGCTGGTCAGCAGAGGAGTGAGGGCTCTTCCCTGCCGTCAGGGCCCACGGTGGTCCACGTCCACGCCCAGGTCCAGGTTCGCGCAGGGCCGTTCCTACTGCCATGGCCTGGTGCCCCCCAGCAGCACCGGCACAGGAGGTGGAGCAGCCGGCCTGGGGAAGGGAAGCCCTCGATGCACTCCGTGGGGCCCTTTGTCCTGGTCTCCTGCCCGTCCCTGCTGCCGTGGAGCCAGCGCTTCCCCCGTGCTCTCCTGCCCGCCTGGGCACGTGCTGCCTGTCAGCTCCTTGCTGTTGCTCCTGCCCTCGCTCTGCCCAGGTTCGTCCTGCTTCTGCCAGAGTGCCCTCCTGGAGGCCCTGCAGCTGCCCGGGGGAAGACCAGCACCTCCCGCCAGCCCCGGGGGTCCTTAGGAGCAGGTAACAGCCTTGAGGTCCAGGTGCTTGGTGGGCTCCGCCAGGGTGGCGTGCCTGGCCCAGAAATGCATGGGCAGATTCTGCATCTTGGGTTCAAAGCCCGGGCCAGCAGCATCCGCTGGGCTTTGGCCTCTGCAGCCGCCACCCGGTAGCCTGCGGTTCCTTACACGCCCTCTCTGGTCTCTGGGCAGCTGTGTCACCCCTGCTCTGGCTGTCCCTGAAGCCAGCACTCTCCTCTCAGCAGCTTCAGCCAATTGGCATCCGTGGCGTTGGCTGGAACAGTCTGCACTGCGGGCATCTTGTCTGCCACCTCCCGCCCACCAAGCGATAGGGTCCGTGCTGTCAGGGAAGCTCAGGCCGGCCGGCCAGGTGCCAAGGAGGGTGGGCTTGCCCTTGCTCTTGGGTCCTGCCAGCCCATGGCGGCTGGCCGTGACGACACGTTTGCACAGACGAGCGACCCGTCCTGGGCCAGGATGCTGAGCGTCCCCAGCCTGATGTCGGAGGCGTTTTCTGACGCTGGGTGATGGGAGAACCTCTGCCCAGGACACGGGGGGTTACCAGAGGGGGGGTGGGGTCTTGGGAAGGGTCAGCCTAAGGGTGCAAAACTTCCCAGAGGGAGAAGGAGTAAGTGCAAGAGACGGAGTCACGTGGGGGACTATAGTCCACGAGGACGCATCAGTGCTGGCTCTCATCAGGAAGAGTTTCTAAGTGCCCTCCCCACAGAAAGCAAGTATGCGGAGTCATGCGTGTTTTAACTAGCTCCGGTACCGCCCCCCGCAGCAGCCGGGAGTCAGAATGTCACGGCGCACTGTACACCTCCACGCCTGTGCGAAGTTGCCAACGAAAAGCAAATGCAGTTTAAGGAAACCCTACCTGGGAGCGAGGTCCAGGATGTTAACCATCATTCCGCCGATGGAGAAACTGGACGTGGCGTTAGCCAGCACCAGGAACGTGACGGTGCTATACAGGCCCGCACTCAGACAGACCAGACCCAGGCCAAACACCGAGGGCAGGAGGATTCCTGGAAGCCAGCCCAACAGTCAGGAGCGCCCCGAGCCGCGAGCGCCGCTCAGGGCAGGCGGATGGGGCCGTTTCTTACCGAGGGTGGTGAAGAGCTTCCGGATGGTAAGGATCTTGAAAATATCCCTGGACAGCAAGACATCTGCCATCTGGCCTGTGAGGATGCCAGTGACCCAGGAGAACAGGTAGGGGAGCCCGGACAGCAGCCCGTTCTGGGGAGGAAGCGTTATTCTGCAGTGAGTGCTGTGAGGGAGGCGTGCTGGCGCGGGGGGAGCCCGTGCTGACGCTCCGACCGACCGCCCGCGAATGAGCGCTTTCGCCCAGAAATCCTCAGGCTCCAAGGCCCGAGCTACTGCTGAGACCGCACCACCCCGAGGGAGAGCAGTCCGAGGCCAGTAACCTTCACCGTCTGTCTGGTTTTCCGCGCGGAGTGGCTGGGATCTGAAACAGCAGGACAGAGTTGGAACGGGAAATGCCAGCCCTGGGGGAGCTGGCGGAGACCGTCATGGTGACGGTGGCAAACGGGTTGGTGCTAGCGGGACTGGCCGCTGCAATCCTTGCAGCAGTGCTGTGGTTTTCTGGCAGGCAAAACAGAGAGCGTAGAGGGCCGCCCTGCCGTGCTGGCCCTGGACCAGGTCGCCAAAAGGTCATCACAGAGTGCCACAGCGTGGCCCGCCCAGCCTCCCTCTCTCGTTATTACGGTGTCAGTAAAGAGGTTCCGGGACCAGAGACCCTCCCGGTTGGGTAGATAGGGTGGGGCCAGTTCTGCCAGAGCGAGACCCGGGCCACGGGCTCATAGTCTCACAGCTGCGCGGGAGAGGGGACTGGGGAACGCTGAGCAGGGCGGCAGGCCCCGCTGAGTGACTCCTGGTAGGACTCTAGTCCCCTGGGGAATGGTGATGCTGAGCCTTACAACAGGGAGGAGGGGCGAGAACATGGCTGCATTGTCGGAGGGCCGGGGGCTGTGTCTACACTGATACTTTCCGGTCACGTCTATGCAGACATCAGAAACGGAGACACCAAGTAAAGCCCCCCAGCCGAATGGTGTAGGGTGGACACGAGCCGAGACCAGGACTGTGAGGGATGGAAGGACGAGCATGGGACCCCCCGTTACACGCGAGCGCATGCACCGTCACCTTCCTCATGTCAACGTGAAGGCTGTCATCGACGAACTTCGGCGTGTACGTGATGAAGAGGGTTATAGTCCAGAAGAAAGCAAAGGACACCACAGCGACCGCCCAGAGCGGCAGGGACGTGAGCATGGCTCTGATGGGCAGGGGCTGCTTACACGAGCCGGCCTGGGAGGCAGCGGGCAGTCGGGAGCGCGCTCGGACAGGCTGGGCATCTCCTCTGGGGCAGGCCCGGGAGAAGCCGGGTGGGCACCGCGTACCTGCTGGGCGAGGGACCCCACGATGTACTGCTTCTCCAGGGCGCTCATGCACGGGTGGTCCTTCGGGTGATCGTAAAACAGAAGGCACCAGAGAAGACAGAGCACACAGCCGCAGGCACCTGTCAGAGCGGGCGGGCGGAGCTGGAGGTCTGCGTGTGGAGAAGAGCGCGCTCGGCCCTGTGCTCACGCTCGCTCTTGTGTTCACGCTCGCCCCTGTGCTCACACTCGCTCTTGTGTTCACACTCACTCCTGTGCTCACACTCGCTCCTGTGCTCGCCCCTGTGCTCATGCTCACTCTTGTGTTCACGCTCACCCCTGTGCTCACACTCGCTCCTGTGCTCGCTCTTGTGTTCACGCTCGCCCCTTTACTCACACTTGCTCCTGTGCTCGCCCCTGTGCTCACGATTGCCCCTGTGCTCATGCTCGCCCCTGTGCTCGCCCCTGTGCTCACACTCGCTCTCGCGCTTGCTCTCGTGGCCATAGGGCACTTACACTCACCAGAGAGAGAGAGAGGCACAGAGAGGGAACGTGAGCCATCGCCCCCCCGGAGGGGATGGCCACGCCAGATCCCTTCTCCATCCTCCGCCCAGTATTTCTGGCACGCACACACACCTGACGTGATTTTCAAACCACCAGGTCTGGGACTTAAACCACGGCCGGCCATGTCTTAGCCACCTTGCCACCTGCTGGCCCAGGAGCGGATCTCTGCTAAACCGGCATTTTTTATCATGTCACTTGGAGGACCCAGACCTTCTCCTCCTTTTTAAAAACTTGGCACAAGGCTCCCATTTCTCACAGCACGCTCCCTGCCATGGCCTCTCTCTGCAGAGTGATTTTACAGAAAGGGTGGAAACCCTCTGGCCTCTTTTGACCGTTAAGTTTCTGCATTCCTTCACTCCAGACGTTGGGTCTCCCTGACCTTAGGCCCCACCCCTTCAGACCGCTGACGTGTCCTGCCGTGAAAGCAGGCACGGCTGAGCTACGTGGGTCTTGGGGTCACCCGGCGTTGAGCGCCCCACCTCAGCCGTGTTCCTCAGACACGGCCCACGCTCCAGGGGTATCCAAGTTCTGTTAAGGGTTCGCTTGGGCCCAGCAGGTGGCGTGATGGCTACGTCGCTGGACTCCTGTGTAATCCCCTGCCATTCGAGTCCCGGACCCAGCAGCTTAGAACTCATGCTGGTGCGTGTGTGTCGTGTGTGCCCAAAATCACTAGAAAAGGGTAGAGAAGAGAAGATTCGGCATGGCTTTCCCCTCTAGGGGTGGTTCTTGTTTTCTGTCTCTCTGTCTCTCTTCATCTCTCCAGCAAGCACGCACATCCTATAGTGTATGCTTTTTTGGGGCTTGAGTTTGTTGTTGTTGTTGTTGTTGTTTGATTAGAGGTTTTTGCCTTAGAGCTTGTGTGCTTCCAGAGAGAGAGAGAGGCAGAGACAGTGAGAGAGTGAGAGACCATCCGCCCGGGAGGAGGTGGCCACGTCACAATCCCTTCTCCTCCAGTCTCCTCCTGGGACCTTGGGCATGCATGCGTACATGTCCAACGTGAGCTTCAAGTCAGTGGGTCCGGGACTGGGATTGTGGTCAGCCATGTGGAAGCGCAGAGGTGTAACTGCTGCCTCTCGGACTTGAGGTTTTGGATCCTAATACCAATACCCCGAGTATCGGGAACCCTCTGCGGGGACATGGACGTGTGGTGCTCACAGTCAGTCTTCCAGAAATGCATTCCCTGGACCAGTATGGGTCACAGGGCAGCCATCGTAGGCTGAGGGGTATGCCAGAAACGAAGACAGACAAAATACTCAACTTCGGGGGATGAAAAAGAGAGATTATTTTGTTCGATCCTCAAAAAATTCATAGGATGCTATTATTATCGTTTTTTTGTTTTGTTTTGTTTTGTTTTGTTTTTTCAAAATAAGAAAAACTAGTCCAGGAAAGACGAAACCACCTGCCCAGGAACCGTCAGTAGGTGGCGCTAAGCTGGGTCGTCTAGGGGAAGAACACAGCCGGGTCGGAGGCGGGGAAGAGCTCTGGAAAAGGCCAGTCATGGGCAGAGCAGAAGAGGCTAAGTCTGCCCAAGACGCGAAGCACAGCACAGGGCGAGGCTCAGCGCCGCCAGGCACTTCTGAGAGAGGGACGGGAGAAGGAGTGGCCTGGAAACCGAATGAAGAATCCGGAGGAAAAGCTGGAAACTGGAACAGGGTGACGGAAGTGCAGCACACCTTCGACGGCCTCACGAAGGGACTGGACGCCACCAAGAACGAAGTCAGTGAGCTTGGAGAAATGTGAGAAGTTCCCCAAACCGAATTGCAAAGACATAAAAAGAATGGGTAAGAACAGAGCATGTGAGTCGTGGGGCAATGCGAAAGGTGTAACACACTCGTTATGGAGATACCAGAAGGAGAAGAGAGAGACAAAGAGAAAGAGTGGGAGACAATGACCACTGAGAGTTTCTGAAAGGTAGTGAGTCTTCACACCACAAAAACAGGCTGTCCGGAGAACACCAAAGCAGAGAAACAGCAAAAACTCACACCCAGGTATGTCGCATTCGACCGCAAAAATCAAAAGTCAGCACAGTTCTAAAGGAAGCCCGAGGGAGACCAGCAGATGGTGCAGTGACTAAGGCACTGGACTCCCTCATGGCTGACCGCAGTTCAAATCCTGGGTCTGGCAGCTCGAAACTCATGCCGGGTGTGTGTACATGCCAACAACCCCAGGAGGAGAATGGAGGAGAAGGGCTTGTGGCATGGCCGTCCCCCGGGGGGTGATTTCTCACTTTCCTTCTTACTCCTTCTCTGTTTCTCTCCAGCAAAAGCACGCACCCTATGGCAAAAAATCTTAAAAAGAAGGAAAAGCAGCAGCAGCAGTAGCCAGAGGTAATAAATTTGGAATTCTTAGATTCCACAAATCCTGAGGCTTGACTCCTTCTGTTTCTGCCCAGATCCATTTGGAAGCACTCGGAGTGCGGACTGGGTGTGTGTAGACACCCTGCCTTTCCCTCGCGTGCTGGGCCTGTCCTCTCCCACAGCCCCGTCACCTGCCTCACTCAGTGCCCAGCTGCGCGGGTGCTGGGACAGACCACAGTCAGAAGGGCGGTCCCAGGCTCTCTGGGCCTGCAGCCCCCGGCCTGTGTGGAGAGCTTCACTGGCGAGGGCGGATGGGTCCACCTGCGGGCTAGGGCTGGGGCCAGGACGCTCCTGAGCAGGGTGGGGCAGCTCTGGCGGCCATGGCCGTGGGCGGTGGGCCGGACACTGCACGGGTGTGAGTTGGGAGGGGAAAGCGAGGCTAGGGTGGTGGGGACAGATGCACGCGCACCACTTGAGCTCTCTCAGGGCAGAAGCGGGGAAGCTCTCTGAGGGGAGCTGAGAAGTGTGAAGTGGTCTTCAGACGCACACGGTCAGAGACCCAGCTGGTCACTGGGAGGGCCGTGCGGGTCTGTGGCCCCGTTTTCTCCACTTGATGGTTTTTCCTAACAATTATCAGATGCTTAGAAACAAACGCTGTGTCGTTGCTGTTTTGTAGGTTTGGTTAACCAGAGCTGTATTTATTTACTTTCAAGGTTTGTACCATAGGGCACATGTGCTCACTAGGAAAGGAGAGAGAGAGGGAAGGTGAGAACTCGCCCCCTGGGAGGACGGCCATGCCACAATCCCTTCTCCTCCACTCTCCTCCTGAGAGTCTGGGCATGCAGTCCACACACCGGGCATGGTCCTCAAGCCATGGGCGCTGGGCCAGCCGTGTGGGAACCCAGGGCCTTCCTCCATGCCACCTGCTAGCCCCATCTTCTTCTTTAAAGCAGGGCGTATTTAGGTCTGTCTAACTATATTGGGAAGGATACTCAAATGGAGCTTAAAAGCCATCATGGTTTGGGGTCAGCGTGCAGGTTAAGGAGCTAGACCCCCACATCGCCAACTGTGGTTCAAGTCCGAACTCGTGGCTTGAAAATTACACCGGGCACATGTCTGTGCTCAACATCCTGAGGAGACTGCCAGGGAGGAAGAGAAGGCAGGGATGCGCCCGCAGAGCATGTGATGACGCCGCGGTCCCTCCCCACCCCTGCCTCCTCTTGGGAATCTGCACACATACCTGGCTTGTGCAGGCCTGAAACGCCCCCGTGCAGCGGGCCACTGCAGCTCGGGAGCCGCCAGGCCACGGCAGGCCCCGGGTTTGAACTCTTGGTCGTAAGCGGGAGTCGTGGAGAGAAACTCACCAAACACGTAGAAGACCATGGGCCAGCCCAGCGAGTCGCAGATGACCCCCGTCACAAGCAGCACGAGGAAGGGTCCCAGCAACAGCCCTAGTCAGAAGGCACCAGAGCCCGGTTACTGCGGCCGCCCGAGAGCAGGGCCACGCACGCGGCTGTCCCTGAGCGGTGCGTGTCACTGGCCAGAGAGAAGCCCATGCATGTCTTTTTCTCTTTGGCTCAAGGTAAGGGTGCTTCTCCTCCACTCTAGACAGCTGCCTCATCTCTGCTTTCTTTGAGAGGTTTTCGCTATAGGGCGCGTGCGCTCACCAGAGAGACAGAGACAGAGACAGAAGTGAAAAATCACCCCCCAGGGGACGGCCACGCCGCAAGGCCTTGTCCACCAGTCTCCTCTCGGGATCTTGGGCACGTAAGCGCTTGCACCCAGCATGAGTTTTAAGCTGCCGGGTCCGGGACTGGGACTGTGGTCAACTACGTGGGAGACTGAGACGTAAGTACCGTTATGCCATCTGCTGGTCCCGGCTCCCTCGTCTGTACAGCGACAAGGTGAGGACATGCCCTTCCCTGGCCCTGGGCCGCTCGGGGCTCTGGGAGAAGCAGCGGAGTGCACTCAGCGGCCGCCTCACCTGACATGCCGATGGAGATGAGCCGGGTCCGCTCCAGCGGCGGGGCCCACCGGACCCACAGCTCGTGCTGCGCCGTCAGGACCGCGCCCTGTGGGAGGAAGACCCGGCCTGGGCTCTGCCACACCTGCCGTGCACCCCGCCCGCCCCCACATGCTCCTACCTGGGCCAGGCCCTGGGTGGCGCGGCACAGGATCATGGCGGCCTCCCCGGCCTTCGCTGCCAGGGGCGTGAGCAGGCTGAGCACTGAGCTGAGCAGCAGCGTGGAGCCCACCAGCTTCTTTATGGAGACGATGCCGGACAGGTACCCGGCGGGCACTTGGCTGAGGACCAGGCCGTAGAAGATGGCGCTGAAGATGACCCCCTGCATGTCGGGGCTCCAGTCATACACGGGGCCCTGAGGGAGAGGGGACACAGCTCCATCGTGATCCTCCAGCTGTGCCTCACAGCCCGCGGCACCGTCCCCGGTTGGTACAGAGAGACCCGCACGGCTGTCACAGAGAGACCTGCGTGGCCGTCCCTGGCTGTCACGACAGAGGCCTGCAGGCCCGCCTCTCTGAGGAGGAACTGCAATAACCAGTCTCAGGCGCCCCTTGTCCCCGGTCCCGTTCGGCCGTGGCCCTCTCTGCTCTCACACGTCTGCCTCCCCACGACGGCACCACCAGGACTGCGGCTTGCCTGCGCTCAGCACATCCGCCCCGCAGGAGCCCCGCAGTGTGTCCTCTGAGCCTGTTCCAACGACCACACGGAAACACTAGCTGCAGCACGAGTGTCCAGTCTTACCTTTCCAAGGACCGAGCGCGGAACATGCCCTGTTCCCCTGCAGGTCCATAAGGGAGCGTAGGAAGGAGATGCCGGAAACGCATCCCTCCCGCTACCTGTCCTGCACCGACACCTGATAAATGGCAACTCACGATGCTCAGCAATTCAAGTACGGCCAGCGACACAAGCCGCGTGGCCACAACTCGAGTACAGATAATACAGGGCCAGCAGGCGGCATGGCGGTTAAAGCACTGGACTCCCACGTGGCCGGCTGTGGTTCGAGTCTCAGACCTGGCGGCTTGAAAATCACACTGGGCATGTACGTGTGCATGCCCAAAATCCAGGGAGGAGAACGGAGGAGATGGAGTGTGGTGCGGCCATGCCCCTGGGGGCAATTTCTCAGTGTCCCTGTCCTCTATCCTCTCTGGCAAGCACACACACATCCTATGACAAAAACCTAAAAAAAAAAAAAAAAAGGGCTGTCCACGCCTGCTTTCGCCCACCTCTCGGTTCTGGGACGCCTGAGCTCTCAAGCTTGACCCTTCCTCCCTCAGCAGGGGCCACACGCCGAGCCCTTCAGTCCGGGACAGGCGTGTCAGCTCGCCACGTGACATGGGTGGAGAGGCGAGCTTCCTTTCCTGATTGTTCCCGCCCTGTCAGCAGCAGTCAGCCTCACCAACGAGCCGGGAGGTCTCAGACGTGGCTGGGCGACACTGCAGACACACCTGCGTGCTGTCCCGGAGCCTCGCGGAGGAGTTGGGCGCCCCGGGCGGCTGCGAGCTGTTCACCATGACGACCATCGTGAGGTTCAGACACGAGCGCTGAGCGGTGACGGCGAGGTTGCAGAAGTGAAGGAGGATGGACAGCCCGTAGCGGAGGGAGCAGAGGCCTGGAACTGGGGGCAGAGTGTCAGCGCGGCCCACGGGAAGACACGCCGTCACCTTAGGGAGGGCCCCTGGGAATCCGGAGTCCCGGGTGGTGATTTACAACCGCAGTTACCGACTGGTGTTCGCGACACCGCATACGCAAGGAAGGCGCGCGGCCACGCAATAACTCCGCCCTCCCCAAGACGTCACCCCGAATAGCCGCCCCCGAGAAATGCGAGTGTTCGAGCGCGTTTCTGTCCTGAAGGGCCCCTCTGCAGATACCCCTCTGCAAACTCCTCTCGGAAGGAGCCGCTTAGCAGCAGCGGGATCCTCTGTCCGGGGAGATGCCCCTCGCCCGAAAGCCTGGCCGAGCTGTCGCCGGTGCACAGCGCGGAGGGAAACGGCCTTCGCAAATCGGATGGCTGCTTAGGGCGGTGCCCAGGGAGCAGCTCTGCCCTGACGGCCTGACCCAGCAGACATCAGTGGAGGAGGCCGGGGGTCCAGAAACGCACGCACACACACGCACGCGCGCGCGGTCGAGTGGTTTGTATAAACATGCTAACGCAAGTCCGTGGCGGGAAGTCCAGTCTTCCTCAACGAGTGGCGTTTTTTCCAAGAGAAATACAAACACGCGTACGAAGAAGACATGCGTGGGAATGTTCCAGCTGCTTTACTCAGAGCAGAGGCTGCTGGGAGGGGTGAGCCCACGTGTGCGATGACACAACACACGTGACTCCGAACTAAGACGGCAGGCGCTGCCCACGACACGGCAGTCCGGGTGAGTCCGAACGCGCTCAGCTGGTGAAGTGCGGGGTACAGAAGCTGTGATTTTAGTTTCTGCTCTAAGGCACATGTGCTCACCGGAGAGAGACAGAGACAGAGGGGAGGTGAGAGATCACCCAGGGGCGACGGGTACGCCACAACCCCTTTTCCTCCACGCAGAGCTCTGGGACTTCGGGCGCGTACATGCAGAGCTCTGGGACTTCGGGCGCGTACATGCAGAGCTCTGGGACTTCGGGCGCATACATGCACAGCCCTGGGACTTCGGGCGCGTACACGCAGAGCTCTGGGACTTCGGGCACGTACACGCACAGCTCTGGCGTGATTTTCGAGCCTATGGCGGGTTTCTGGGACTTCGGGCGCGTACACGCACAGCTCTGGGGCTTCGGGCGCGTACACGCAGAGCTCTGGGACTTCGGGCGCGTACATGCAGAGCTCTGGCGTGATTTTCGAGCCTCTGGCGTGTGGGACTGACCATGTGGGATCCAGCTGCCTTAACCTTCAGGCCACCTGCTGGACCTAGAAACCTATTTTATTATTTTTCTTTAAAGAGATTTTTGCTATAGGCACATGCACTCACTGGAGAGACAGAGAGACAGAGAGACAGAAAGTGAGAAATCAGCTCCCCAGGGGGGTGGTCCTGCCACAGCCCTTCTCTTCCAGTCTTCTCTCTGGATTTTGGGCACGCACGCACACATGCCCAGCATCAGTTTTAAGCTGCCAGGTCTGGGACTCGAACCACGGCCGACTACGTGGGAGTCCAGCGTCGTAACCATTACACTACCTGTCAGTCTCTAGAATGTTCTAGGACCCCTCTGCGTTTCCAGGCAATAATTCTCGGAGTTTGTGGTGTCGTATTTCGGAGAGCGAAAGTTGCGATGGGGCTGAGAGTGTTACCTTTCCCGGGAGGAGGCTGGGTCTCCATCGCGCACCGGTCAGCCTGCTCTCTCCTTGCTGAAGGGTCCGGGCTTCGGCCTGTGAGTACAAAACACACTGGGACAGCGTGACGGGGGGCTGACCCCACACCAGCCCCCTCTCGGCCTCACGCCCGCTCTCCGGGCATTTGCACTGTGACCCCACTGTTTCCTGTCGTATTTGGCTTTCACGATCTTTGTTGATTAAAAAGATACTAACTGTACAAAGCAGCAAAAAGCCCTGGCAATCCAGAATCCTACATCCAGGGGAAATATTTTCCCCAAATGAAATAGATATAAAGACGGTGTTAAACAAAAAGTGAGAGGATTTCAAGGCCAGTGGACCCGCCCTGCAGGACGGCCCTTCAGAGCCGGCACCGTGGTGCCGCGCCTGGAGTCCCAGCTGCTCGGGAGGCTGAGGCAGGAGAAGGCGTCTGAGGCCAGCCCGGGGGAACTAGTGAGACCCTGCCCGAGGAAGGAAGCAGTCCTGCAGGCAGATGGGCGTGCGAGGGGCGGGACGGCGGGAAGGCAGTGTCTCCTTTTCCTCGTCTGTATCTTTCCAGAGCCTAAAACCCCGTATCTGTTCAGGCCGCCTCTGTGACAGGTGGTCATCGTCCCCCTGGCAAGACGGTCCTGACCTTTAGTTTTTGCTGACGCGGCAGCCGCCAGGCCAAACTGCACTGGGTGGGGCGTCTGGGAGAATGAGTCAGCAGGAGGCTGCCCTCAGATGCCTGCACCCTTAGACGGCTTTGTTTCGTGTTTTCTCTGTAAGGGTTCTGCCGTAAGTCGCATGTGCACGCTGGACAGGTGGAGAGGCAGAGAGGGAAAGTGAGGGACCATCCCTGGGGACGGCCACGCTGCAGTCCCTCCTCCCCATTCTCTTCTTGGGAATTTGGGCCCACATGCACACGCGCCTGGTGTGTTTCACGCTGCCGGATCTGGGACTTGAATCGTGGTCAGCCACGAGGGAGTCCAACTGCTTACCCACTACGCCACCTGCTGGCCCTTCCGTAGGGCCGTCTGAACGGGCTGTTTTCCAGCCATTATCACACGCTCGGGCCCTTCTGGGATGCCACTTATTTCAACACACACAGCACGGAACACGTAATGCACAAAGCACATATGCACACAACATAATGCACACACAGATGCACACGACACAGATGCACACGACACATGCACACGCCACACATGTACACGATGCACACACACACACACACACACACACACACACACAGTAGCCACTCTATGTACACGGCACACAGCACAGCCCCTCAGGTCTGCTGTGCATACAGTCCACACACACACAAGCCAACTTCTCTAGCACATCACAATACCGTGTAGACATGTTACACGTACGTACGCTCCACGTACACCGGCAAACCTCCGCTGCCCCACACAGCACAGTTATCCTTACACATGCACACACATGTACACACCCTTCACACAGCACACGCATATACTCAGCTACGACACACACCACAGACACACATGCCACACGCACACGCAGCATATCATGCACTCACTCTACGGTTATCCTTAGACTACACCACACGCCACACACAGCACACACACTATACACACATGCATGCCAGACACTATCCTTGCACACCACACACCACATGTACGCGTGCATCGCGCACACACACCACAGACACACCGACCTCGCGGTTGGACACAGGAGCACACACTCCCTCCCTTCTGTGTCCTTCCGCTGCCGTCCACCTCATGCCCCCAGAATACCTTGTCTTTTCTTTCACTCGAGGTAAGCCCCACGGCCAGCTGGCTCCGCAGACGCTCCTGTGGCCGAGACCTCCCTCCAGAGCCCGGCCAGGGAAGCAGCCTGGGTGTCCTTGGGGCCTGGGACCTGCACTGGGGCCGTCTGTAGGGAGGGGGCCAGCCTGACCCAGGGTGGGGCGCCTTCCCTTGCCGACCGCCCTGCTGACTTGACGCAGTGCCCGGTTCCCAAACTTTCCAGTTTTCGTCCCCCAAATCCTCTATCACAACCTTCGACCTCACTGCGTCCAAATAAAAAGTTTAATTTTTAACTTTAGTTTCACCCTTGCCTTTAATCTGCAGGGGAGGCGTGCGCATCTTAATGCCGGCCCGTGGACAGGAAAGCCCTGGTCTCGGCCGTCCCATGGCTGACAGTCGTGCCCTCAGCCTCTGCCCGAGATCAGACCTGCAGGCCAGCGCTCCTCGGAGCTCTATGCCCACCTCTGCCTGCAGGCCGGCCAGCACCTGGGAGCCTCCGCCCCCTCGTCCTCCCTCCCCACCCCAGAGTCGCATCCTGCGACTCCCACACACTCCGAAAGTGGGACTTGGTGCCAAGGTGCGTCTTCCCGAAGATGCTGAGCCTCCCCAGGGACTTCGGCCATGACCCCCTGGGCTCTGGCTTCAGAGCACCTGGGAGTGCTGCCGGCATGGGCCCTGAGAAGCCACACGCTGCTCCAGCACAGCTGAGCGTGAAGCCCGTGGTTTCTCACTGAGTGTGGGCTGTGCACCCCGGGCCTCGACGCTCCCCTGCACGTCTGGGGTGTGCGTTGAACATCCAGCATGTGGCAGATGACAGGTACTCTTTAAATCGAGCTAGTCACTATCCCCAAATAACTGTGGGGTGACCTAAGTCAGTAAGAAGGATAAATACTGGGGCCAGCAGGTGGACTCCCACATGCTCGACCATGGTTCAAGTCCTAGACCTGGTAGCTTCAAACTGATGCCAGGTGCGTGTGCGTGTGTACCCAAGATCTTGGGAGGAGGGTGGAGAAGGGGTCGTGGGGTGTCCATCCCCCTGGGGGTGATTCACCACTTTCCCCGAAGTCCCAGAAGTCCTAAAGGGGTGGGAGATGAGAAAAATGACCAGGACACATGGAGAAGGCTGCCCTCCAGGAGCCACGAAGGTCGTAGGGTGGTTGCTCACCTGCAGACCCTGGGAGAGACCCTCAGATAGACACTACCTCTCCTGACCCCTGAAAGTCTAGCAGAAGCTGGTGGACAAGGAGGAGTGGGGCGCAGTCAGGAGGGCCAGGCTTCTGGGGCTGTGAGCCGGACGGGACGGGTGGAACTCTGGAAGCCCACCGACAGCACCCGACTTGGTGACCGTGACTGAGCACTCGCTGGCCCAGGGAGGCTGCCGTCCTGGGGACCTGTCAGACTGACTGGTTCTTGGACCCAGAAACTACGGGCCTGACACACTGGCTTCCACACGGCCACTCCCTTCCTTTCTTACAGGGGTGTTTTGCTACAGGGCACGTGCACTCACTGGGGCCCGGACAAAGTGAGAAAGCACCGCCCTGGAAGGAGGCCATGCCGCAACCCCTTCTCTCCCATTCTCCTCTCGGGATTGTGGGCACGCACGCACACGCGAGCTGGAGTGAGTTTTAAGCTGCCTGGTCTGGGACGCGAACCGCGGTCAACTACGTGGGAGCCCAGCGATGTAACCACTGCACCGTCTGCTCGTCCCATCCATTGCTAACTCCGTGGAGATGATGGCTTTGTTCTTGGCTATCTTTTATTTGAATGTTTATCCATCTTACATGTTCCTCAAAAAAAAAAAAAAAGTCTGAATAAAACAAAAAGCATGTTGCATTTGAAGAGTCACGGCAAGCCAAATTCGTCTCGTCGGTGTTTCTGTTACGGGTGCTTCTTGTGGAAGAAGTAGGGTCCACAGCTCTCCCTCCGAGGTCGAAGAACCAAGGAAGGGCACCACGCGGCATCGAAGCCCGAGGCCGCCCCAGCCACGAGCAACGAGGGCCCCGTGCCCCCTCACAGGCGGGTGTGCGTCCCCTCTTCCGCCCAGTCCTGGACGTCCACTGCTCCAAACACCACGTACGTGGCCAGCCCGAGGAGGTTGATGGCGAGCATCAGGAGGAAGACGTTCCTCCACCCAGAGTCGGGGTCCTGGGGACACAGACTCCAGGTAAGAGGACCCTGCCTTTTTACCACACGCGTCACACTAGCAGTTTGGACGACATTCACGCTGAATTGCACGGAGACCTTTGTTTCCCGAAAGCGGGAGGGACCTGAAAGGCAGCGGATGTTTTGAGGCCGAGGGCACCGGAGCTGCGCGACGGCACATGCCCTCGGCCTGGCCACTGGGAGCCGCCCGGAACGCCCGCGTTCTGCGGCATTGCGACATCGCGGCGTGGGGAGGCCAGTTCTGAGTACGCGGGCGCAGGTGCAGCGTTCCCGCAGGGCAGGCTCGCTCCGCCCCAGCTCCACGCGATGTCGGTCAGCGTGGACGCGAGCTGACGAGGGGACGGCGCGTCCTCACTGCTGCGCACCGGCCCCGACTGAGACGGCGGTGTGCCTCGGCCCTCCCTTTCTCGGGGCGGTACAAGTGGGCACGTCAGGGTGCTGCCAAGGACAGGGCAGTGGGGCTGTGGGGACCGTCCCGTGCGCCCCGAGCTGGCTCTCGTGTGGCCCTAGAAGGGGCCAGCGGGGTCACCGAGGAAATCACTGTCTTTTCTTAGGCCCATGCGCATGATGAGGTCGCAGGATTTGATCTGGTTCCCAGCCTTCCGACACTCCGTCAGGCTGCCCACACGAGCGCCCGCCCCCCGCGTGCATGGTAAGAGCCCCGCTGGGCGAGGAGCCCTACCTGGTCGAGGAGCAGCCCCGAGGCGATGGGCGCCAGGGTGGCAGAGACGGCGGCCACGGCCCTGGTGAACCCCATGAGGAAGCTGGAGTACCTGTGGGCAACGGCAGAGCCAGGCGTGGCCCGGGATGCGGACGAGGCCCTATCCCTTCTCGGATGGACCCCTCGGGCCTATCGGGAAGGATAGCCCTGCAGGGCCAGCAGGTGGCCTGGTGGTTAAGGGCACTGGAGTCCCACATGGGCAACCATGGTTCGAGTCCCAGACCTGGCGGCTTGCTTTCTCAGTTTCTCTCTCACACTCTGGCCCTCTCTAGTCAAATTAAAATAAATAAATAAAGTTAAATAAGATAATTCTTTAAAAAAAGAGAAAGGACTTGCCCTGTCTACTCAATGACAGGGACTCCGAGAAGCCAAGTGCCTCGATGTTTCCGGAACGGGGCGACAGGAAGCAGGCGCGGCTACCTGGGCGCGATGTCTAGGGTGTTGACGTAGATCCCCAGGAGGCACAGGGAGCTCAGCCCGCAGGACAGCATCAGGGCGGCCACGGCGGTGATGTAGCTGACGTCCAGGAAGGGCAGGGCCGCCACGAGCACCGCCGGGGGCAGGTTCCCTGCGGAGGGAGCGGGGCAGTGACGGTCTCCCGGGGCCCGCCCTCTCCCGGTCCTCACCTAAGATGGTGGACACTCTCCTGACGGTGAGGAGCCTGCACCTCCTGGTCAGGAAGGCGGGAGGCACGCTGTTGCTCAGCATGGCCACGGCCCAGGCGGTGATGAACGGCAGGGCGGACATGACCCCGTTCTAGGACAGGGGAGGGCAGTCAGAGGGGCCGCGAGCCAGCCCGTGCGGGCAACTCGCCACCCCTCCTTTAGAGCCTGCTCCGGAGCGCGTGCGCTCGCGGACAGAGACAGGGAGACAGAAAGCGAGACATCGTCCCCGGGGGATGGCCACGCCGCAATCCCTTCTCCTCCAGTCTCCTCTCGGGGTCTTGGGCACGCTCGCACACGCGCCCGGCGTGAGTTGTAAGCGGCCGGGTCCGGGCTTGAACCGCGGTCACCTACGTGGGAGTCCAGCGATGGAACCATTCCATCTGCGGCCTGAGATCCACTCTCTCAGGAAGAGCAGACCGTGGCCTGGGAGGGCGGCGTTGGGGGCGGGCAGGCGCAGGGCGGGCGGGTACTCACGTCCCTGACGCTGACGCCGTACACGGAGCGGATGTAGGTCGGCGTGTACACCAGCTGCAAGTTGATCAGCCACTGGTGGCTGAAGCAGCACACGCACAGCGCCCAGAGCGGCCGCGACCCGAGCATCGCTTTGATGGGGAGAGGCTGCCTGGAAACGGGGACCTGGAAACAGGTGGCCTAGTCGGGGCACTGAGACCCCAAACGCTCCCCTCAGCCGCCCTGCCCCGGGCGGCCGCAGAGGCTGCTGCAGTACCTGCTGGGCCAAGGAGGAGGCGATGTATTCTTTTTCTGAGACGCTTATACAGGGGTGAGCGCTGGGGTCGTCGTAAACCAGCGCCAGCCAGAGAAGGCACCAGGCGCAGCCCACGCCTCCTGCAAGCAGAGCAAGAGCCGCTCGGACCGGAGTCCGCCCTGCCCTGCGGGTGCGGACGCGCTTCTGCTCCGGTTCTGGAGAGACCTCGCTCGCCGCCTCAGACCGTCCCCACCACTGTGAGCTTCCTGGCACCTGCTCCGTCCCTTTGCTGTTTGTGTGTGTAGGTCACCCTGGGCCTGGCGCACAGGCGTCTCGATCTTGCGCATGCTAGCCATGCGAGCAGGCGTGCAGCGGGCTTGCGTGGCTGTAACCGGCATCTCCCGGCGGAGGGCGCTCCTACGCCTCTCTGCATTTGCCCTTCATTCCGTACCTGTCTTTTTTGTTTTGATGAAGTGTCTTTGTCCATTTTTCAATTGTTCATTATTATCGTTGATATTGCCAGAGAACGTGTGCACTCACCAGAGAGACAGAGACAGAGACGGGGAGAGGACGCGCTCTCCCTCGGGGCGAGCACGGCGCAGCCCCTTCATCTCACGTCAGGATTCTCACTGTCTGCTGGCGTTCACACAGCCGCTCTTGCGGGCACCGTGCCGCTCTCCTTCCTAGTTGTTCTAGACCGGGGGTGTGTCGGTTTCCCACTGTAAACCAGGCCGAGGCCGACATGCGGTTCCATACCACACGGGGTGCATGTCTGGCCGTGTCCCCGAGGCACGTCGGCACTCCAGAAACGGATCTCCCTAGTCACAATGCATTATTCTTGTTAAATAGCAAAGGGTTCAGTTTGGTACATTTTTAAAGGATATCTGTGTTTATGTTAATGGTAGGTATTAGCCTTTTTTTTTTTTGGTAATATCTTCATGCAGTTTTGGTATCATGTTAACCCTGGCCTCATAACCAGCATCGTGAAATGTTTGTTCTATTTTCAGAAAAAATTTGTGTAGAATTGGTGTCATTTTCCACGTACTTAGTACGATTTGTCAGTGAAACCGTGTGGGTCTGGAATTCTCTCTGCTGGAAAACTTTAAACTACAAAATCGACGTATTAATATGTATGAAATAGTTACGTTACTTCTTCCCGAGAGGACTGCTTCACCTTGTGTCTTCCACGAGCTTGTGCACTTTATTCCAATGACTAATTTACGAACACAGGCTGTTTGGGACCACCCCTCCTACGCCCCTCCGCACGGCAGGGCCTGCCTCACTACGCCCCTCCGCACGGCAGGCCCTGGACTGAGGGCCACTCGCACCGTCGACGTCGGCATTGCTACCTCCTCGCTGTCTGTCTCAGCTCATCCGGCTGAAGAAGCTGCTGATCTTTTCAAAGAACCAGTTTTGGCCTTCACTGAATCTCTGTGTTTGTCCTCTGTTTAAATCTATGCCCTGATTTTTCTTATTTCCTTCCTCCTGATTTGGATTTAATTCTCTTTTTTTCTTTTTTGCCATATGGTGCGTACACTTGCTGGAGAGAGACGAAGAGAAGGAAAGTGAGAATGCACCAGCCTGGGGCAGGGGTGGGAGAATGGCCACATTGCAGTTCCTTCTCTGTTCTCTTGAGACTTTGAGCCATGCGCACACACACACACACACCCAGTGTGATTTTCAAGTCACCAGGTCTGGGACTCGAACTACGGTTGGCCATGTGGGAGTCCAGCACCTTAATTTCCATGCCACCTATTGGCCCCTCTTTCTAATTCTGCAGGCATAAGCTTGGATCATGGATTTGAAGTCTTCTTTATTTTCCAGTATACGAATTTAATATGAAAACTCCCCTCTAGGTACTGCTTTAATTTCATTCTACTTATTCTGACATATGGATTTTCATTGCCATTTAATTCCATTCTAAATATGTGTGTCTTTTTAAAAAACATCCATCGCAAGTATGATATTTCATTTTTAAACATCTAGAGAATTTCCAGATATCTTTCTGTTATTAATTTCTGGTTCAATTCCATTATGTTCAAAGAACACATTTTCTATCATTCTTAATTCATTCAAGTTTGTTCAAGGTTGTTTTTATGTTCCACAAGACTCTCTGTCTTGGCAGAGATCTGAAACGTACTTGAAGACGACTCTACCGTTGTTGGAGTGTACTGCATCTGTCTTCTTACTGAGGTCAGAATTTCGAGGTCGCCCTTTCTAGTGTGAATTTATCTCTTTCTTCTCATTGTTCTTCAGGTTTTTTTTACTTCACATAATTTGAATTTCTGTTGTTAGGTGCACACCCATTTCAGACTGAGATGTCTTCTTGGTGAACTAACACTTATGTCATTCTATCCTGTCTAACTTTGTCCTTGTTGACATTATTTGTTCTGAATTCACTTTTGCCCAATTATTACTATATCCACCGATGTATTTTCCTGGTCCATCTTTGCCCAATATTTTATTTGTCTGTCAATTTAATGTGGGCTTTTGAAAATAGGATACAGTTTTGATGTGTTTTGAAATGCGTTTAGAGCAGAGTTTCTGGTGGTATCTTTCAGTTTTCCTTCATCAGAGAATGTTTTGATTTTACCTTCATTTTTTTTTTTTTTGGAGAGATTTTCACTGTAGGGCGCGTGCGCTCGCCAGACAGAGAGAGACATAGAGACAGAAAGCGAGAAATCACCCCCCAGGGGGGATGGTCACGCCGCAATCCCTTCTCCTCCATTCTCCTCTCGGGATCTTGGACACGCACGCACACACGCCCGGCGTGAGTTTTAAGCCACTGGGTCCGGGACACGAACCACGGTCGACTACGTGGGAATCCAGCGACATAGCCATTACGCTAACTGCTGGTTCCCGATTTTACCTTCATTTTTGAAGCATAGTTTCAGAGGATATGGAATTCTTAGTTGACCGTTCATTTCTTTCAGCACTTTAAAAGATGGCTTCCCATTGTCTCTGTGCTCTGATTACTAGCCAGGCATATGTGAGACTGACGTTGTTTCCACGTGTAATTCGTTTTAGCTTTCTAGCTTCTTTCAGGCTTCTTTCTACCTTGGTTCAAGAGTTTTCATTTACTGTCTTATTCCAGCTCTTCAGTTATGATGTACCTAGCTGGGGGGGTCTCTTAAGCACCCACCGAGGGAGTCACTTCAGGACAGACGGGAGAACCCCGGATGCTCTCTGGCATAGGTCAACGTTCCTAATATACCGGGGTAGTGAGTGCTCCTAGGACTTCTATCTTGGCTCGTTTCCCCCAGAAGCATACACAGATGTGCACGCTCAGAAGCAGCTCCCTGCTGGGAAGTCCGGGCCTGGGAACCGTTAGCTTACCGAAGACGTAGAAGGCGGAAGGCCACCCGAGGGCTTGACTGATGAGGCCGCCCATGAGGATGGCAACGAAAGGTCCCAGAACCACTCCTGCAGAGAGACAGGGAGTGAGCGGGGGTTCCGTGTCCAGCCAGCACGTGGGGACGGTGTGAACACTGGACAGACTCCAGTGTGCTGGGAACTGACACAGAAAGATGAAGCCACCAAGTTCAAGAAAACCTGGATGAGGGCTTTGTAACCTTCCCACCCGTGATTCCGAGTCCAGGTGCCACGGGAGAGAACAGTGATAACTTGGACTACAGAGAACTGTTCTTTAATGGCGAAACTTGTATCCTCAACAAAGCGATGCCCCAAACGACAGCCTGGGGAGTCACGGACAGGCGGGGCGGCTGTGTCTGAGCACGTCTGCCCCGCGTCTTGGTTTACAAAGGTCCTGGACTTTGAGCAAAACTACGGGACAGAAATGGAGGAGAAGCCAGCGGAAGAAGGGCCAGCTTGGCGGTTCCATCAGGGTCACACGCCATTACCTGACAAAGACAGGCTGCAGAACCAGCTTTGTTCAAGTGGAGGGCTCCATCTGGTCCAAAGTGCAAACTGACCCCCAAGTCCTAAGCCCTGAAATGGAAACGGCTAGAGTTGCTGATATGGGGTGCCACGTGGAAACTCGATTCAGCTCTGGTGTGTTAAATTCTGGGTACCTGGATTAGGCCCTGGATGATCCGAGCCCCCACAAGGAAGGGGAGCCCGAGGTCGGCAGCCAGAGGTGTGCAGAGGCCCAGCAGTGAAGATCCGAACAAAGAAGCGGCGACAACCCACTTGGACCCCACTCTTCCAGCCAGGTAGCCGCTGGGCGCCTGCGTCAGCATCAGGCCATAGTTGATGGAGCTGAAGATGAGCCCTTGGGTTTGCGGACTCCAGTTGTACACGGGGGCCTGGGAGCAGAGAGCACGTAACAGTGCCTACCGGGGCCTCTCGGCCACGCACTGGCTGCCCGGTCTGTTTTTGCAAGGTTCTGGACAAACAAACTCCGGAGAGGACAGCAGGGGCGAGAGCACAAGTGTGAATCACGCAACACTCACCTCTGCAGGGAGACCCTCTGGGGCTTTGCCAGAGCGCCCAGCTGAGTCGGCCGGCGGCCCCTGGGGGGAGCTGTTGAGCTGGGCGTGCTGAGCCGTGCTGTTGACCATGGCCACCATGGTGATGTTCATGACGGTGTTCTGCCCCACCAGCAGCAGGTTGCAGACATGCATGAGGAAGACCAGCCCCCCGCGGAGGGAGCACAGGTGCAAGGCTGGAAGTGGGCATCAGGTTAGCAGTCCCCTCAGCCAGCTCCGCTCCGCCTTGCACAGGGCAGAGCGGGGACCACCGCCTGGAGATTTCAGGGACACTCTGTGGGCTTTAGGAGAGGAGGGTACAGCAGAGGTGGCGTCTTATGCCAGTCTTACATGTATGTGCCGCTCCGGGGCGTGCTGTCCTTCCTGTGATTTCCACCCGCCCGCTCCTAGGCTATTGAGTTCTCCAGGTGATGGACTTACTCAAAAGTAGATAATAAGATTAACATATATAAAACGGCATCGTAACATATACTAAAAGAAAATGTATGGGAGTCTGTGGATGGTGTCACAGTTATCTCACTGGCCCCCACATAGTTGAGCGCGTTTCGAGACTGAGACCTGGGGCTTAAACCTCACTCTGGGCACGCATGAGTGCCCGAGATCCTGGGAGGAGGCTGGAGAAGAAGGGGTTGTATCCAGGCCATCCTCCCTGGGGGATGATTTCTCGCTTTCTGTCTCTGTATCTCGCTGTCCCTCCAGTGAGTGCATGTACCCTAAAGCGAAAATCTTTCTTAAAAAATATATGCATATAAACATGTGTATGTATTTAAATTATTTAATTTACGATACACAACATGAATGTATCTGCAATTATATATACATATTTGCGGAGTATAATTTATATATTAGGTCGTCGGGAACATCATGACACATTTTTTGCGTAGAAAAACACGTCATGACGTTCCCGACGACCTAACACGTAGTGCGTTATGGACACCATGGTCCGTGTCACGTTTGTATGTAGAATTGCGTACAGACATGGTGACCGTGATCTCAACTCTGTTCTATACTGCTGTAGGTGACTATTCCATTCACATCTCAGGCATCAAGGACAAACTTTCACTAAAAATTTGAGATTAAACCCCTAGAAAGATTTCATCGTTAGGTACGCTGACATCCATACGTATGAAAATGCAGTGGGGCCAGCAGATGGTGGGTGGTTATGTCACTGGACTCCCACACGGCTAACTGCAGTTCGAGTCCCAGACCCAGTGACTTGAAAATCACACTGGGCACATGTGCGACGTGCCCAAGATCCCAGGAGGAGCGTGGAGAAGGAGGAGTGTGATGTGGACTCCTTCCCGGGGGCGATTTCTCACTCGTGAGGGTCTAGCTGCCAGCGTCTCGGGTCTGGATGTCTGTAGTCACCTTCAACCTGACTCCTTGCTTTGAATCTGTCCTCGACACAGTGTTCGCAGAGTTCTGGTCACACCATAAATCGCGTCAGCTCTTCTCAAAACCCTCCATGTAACTTTATTTTATTTTTTTATTTTATTTTTTCAGATTAAAAACTAGGATCTCTACATTGGCCAATGGAAATGAAATGTTCATACCCTTTGCTTCGAATTTTTCGCCTTGAGGAAATAATTTCAAATGTGGACAAGTGTTAGGTGAGAGCACGTCCCCTTACCCTGACAGGTGTGATGCAGCAGCTGTCGAATACCTGGGTCGTTGGAAAAGTCAGGACGCATTTTTGCATAGAAAAACACAGACAAAAACGTCCTGACTTTTCTGACAGCCCGATAGACCATAAACACAGAACGGTCAAGCAGCATATCTGAGCTGTCGGTCGTGACGTAGGTTTACCACGCGCAAATGCATTGTGACTTCCGAAGACCCGACAGTTTCTATACCAGAAGAGTTCTAAAAGTTCATGGGGAAATGAGATTAAAGTATGAGTTCATTTTGGTGCCAAAAAAGAAAAATGGAAGGAGATGCGTAATTTTCCGTAGCGTGTTTCCCGTGGACCTTCTGCAGGCCCCTTGTACAGACAGAAGCGTCGAGTAACAGAGGAAACCCACAAGCTCAGCAGCCACACGTGGGGTGCTTCATGTGCAGGTGTAATCTGTGTCCTCTAAGAACAATGTGGGGCCAACAGATGGCGTGGTGGTGAAGGCCTGGACTCCCACACGGCCGACCAAGGTTCGAGTCCTGGACTTGGTGGTTTGCTTTCTCACTTTCCCTCTCTCTCTCCATCTCTCTCTGGTGAGCGCATGTGCCCTATAGCAACTTTTAAAAATGATAATAATAATAAATACAATGGAATTAATAATTCTAAAAAGTAATGTCTGTACATGTTATAAACGAATTATGAAGAATGGTAAAAGAGTAACCGGCACATGAAACGCCGAACAGGGCGGACCGCACAGAAGACGGGCAGTGAGAAGATTGCGGTGGCCGAGCTAAGCTGACGGAAATCTCTTATTTCACGACTTTTGAAGTTTCTATAGCTAGTTTTTCTTTATCCAAGCAACACAACTACATTTGCGATGTTACATAAAATAACAGCAGGAAGCCAGGCTACGTGTAGGCTGTTTGAGAGTCAGTGTCGAGAAGGTAGATGCACACGAGGGGAGACTAGAAAGTAACTATTAAAATAAGACTTTTTTAGATAAATAATAATTTATTTACTGTTATTTATTGATTTTATTTTAATTTGACCAGAGAGAGAGAAAGAGGGAAAGTGAGAAAGCAAGCCACTGTTTCCAGGACCCGGACCCTGGTTGGCCATGTGGGAGTGTCCAGAGCCTTAACCACCATGCCACTCGCCGGTTCCCAAAATAAGCCTTTTTTTTTTCTTTTAAAGAATAGCAGTATTTATTTCTTTGCATATTTGCAAAAGGTACATTAGTGTTACTGGATTTTCTAAAAGGAAAACAAGCTAAAAGTTACGCATTCCCTCCTCTGCAGAAGGACCCCGTGAAGGGTGGTGGGCGGGGCGTACCTCTCCTGGGAATGCGTGGCCCCTCCTCCTGCATGTCTTGGGGGCTCTTCCTCTTCTCCGCTGCAGGGCTCACCTCCATCCTGGTGGTCATCGCGTTCCTCCTCTCCTAGCGACTGACTGCTTTGCCCCTGTAATGCACACGCGTCGGTCGGAGACAGGGATGCCGCCAGGGACCGGGCCACGGAGAGCCAGCCGCCCCACCCAGCCAGGCCGCGGAGGCCAAGTACCCCCACCCTCAGCTCAGAAGAGGCACCTGCACCTGGTGTGGGCCGCGGGGTCCAGAAGGCTGTGTCTGAATAAGAGCTCTGCTTGGGGCCCGCAGACGGTGTTGTGGTCACGTCGTTGGACTCCCAGGTAGTCGGCTGTGGTTTCAGTCCCAGATGTGGAGGCTTCAAAGTCACGCCGGGCGCGTGTGCGTGCCCAAGATCCTGAGAGGAGAATGGAGAAGGGATTGTGATGTAAATCCCCCTGGGGGTGATTTCTTGCTTTCTGTCTCTCTGGCAAGACTATGCATCCCATAGCAAAAACACCCCCAAAAATCAAAAAGCAAAATACAAAAACAACAGGAAAAAACCAACTTTCTAAAAAAAAAAAAAAAGACTCTGACTCTGGAGGCAGGCACTGCCTAGTTCGAATCCAGGCTCGTGTGTACACCCTGGCCGAGCTCCCGGAGCAGCTGTGTGGCTTCCGTCCCAGCCCCCGCCGACAGCTCAGGGGCACCGTCATCAGAAAAGTGGTGCCAGGCTCAGGGGGCGGCAACCTAGCCTGGTGCCAGGGGCTCGGCCAGCGGGAGCTGCGTGTGTGGCAGAGGGCGCTGTCCTTTCTGGGGCCACCACGTGGGGGGACCTCAGAGCTCTGCTCCCTGGAGCCCCTGCCTGCACCTCAGGATCTGGTCGCTGCCCTGGTGACTCCCCTGTGGCCTCACAGTGGGGCTCACTGGATGTCACCAGTGTTTGGGACCAGCTTTGCACAAGAGGACGACACAATTCAGACCCCTGTTCATGGCCGTAGGCTGAGGGTGTCTCTACAAGGTCTAGACATGCCCGACCTGCTGCTGTTGGCCTTTCTGCTCAGGCGAGGCCTGGGGAAGAGCTCGGGGGTAACAACGGGCCCCAGCACCCGTGGGATCTCAGGGCGCTGCGTGGAGTCCCACGGCGCTGTGTTTAGTGCTCAGTTTACGTTCATGACTCTTCAAAATGTGTAGCTGCTTACGCCCCTCGTAGCCAAACCTGGTGACATTTGCACATCGGCATGCACCCGGCGCTGCCGGCCGCGGACCGGCTTGGTGGCATCTCTCCATAAGAGCGTGTCATTGCTCAGAGGGGCCTTTATGACAGGGCTGAGGTCTGATGCGTGCCGTGGGCCCCGTTAGACGGGGCTGTCAGGCAGCTCCTCTCGCGGCATGACAGGTGTGGCTCCTGTGAGCTGCTGTCCTTTCCTCTCCCTGGGTCCACTTTTCCACAGCTACGTGCCCTGCTTCCGGAACCCAAGTTCAGAGCCAGCTCCGCAAGCAGACCTAGCTCTGAACACAAGCCACGTCGGCCCACTCACCTGCGTGCACGGTGTGTCAGAGCTCAGGCTGACCGACGCGGGAGGGATGTGGGCAGTGCGGGGCCCGCGTCCCCTGAGCGGTGAGCGGCCCACGGTGCCACCACCCACGGCACTCCGGATCAGCACCAGGCAGGGTCTGATGAGCACGGCAGGGGAGCCCACGTCCCCTCCACTCCGGTGCCTTCGCCTCGGCCGGGACAGTGTCTGGTTCTCTGCTACCCAGGGCTCAGGTCGCTAATCATTAATGAGCGTCACCAGACTGCAAGCTGGCCGAGCAGGCTCCTCGCAGGTGCCTTGGAGAGCATTTTCAGGACATTCCCTGTCTCCCTGCCGGGTGACCTTTCAGCTTCCCTCCGTGGGGTGGACAGGACAGAGGGCTCCCGAGCCTCCAGGCGTCCTCAGCTCAACCCCTAATTTGGTCTTTCTGCTTTGCTTTGCGATGTCAGTTCTGCTGTGAACAGGCTAACGGGAGAAGCTTAGTGCTTTTGTTGTTTTTGTTTTCTCTCCCTTTTCTAAATTTAAAAATATTTCAATTCTTTTGGACTATGTGAGTTATAATATTACAGCTAAATGTGAACTTCATTTACTCTTCATCTTCCTTTTCTCTGGTCCCCTTTTACTTTCCAACAAACTAAACCAAACCAAACCAACCAGGCAGCAAATGCAAGGGATCAGAAATGTAGAATGGATCCCAGAGACAGAGGGGCAGCAGAGACCCGTGATCCCAGAGACAGAGGGGCAGCAGAGACCCATGATCCCAGAGACAGAGGGGCAGCAGAGACCCATGATCCCAGAGACAGAGGGGCAGCAGAGACCCATGATCCCAGAGACAGAGGGGCAGCAGAGACCCATGATCCCAGAGACAGAGGGGCAGCAGAGACCCATGATCCCAGAGACAGAGGGGCAGCAGAGACCCATGATCCCAGAGACAGAGGGGCAGCAGAGACCCGTGATCCCAGAGACAGAGGGGCAGTTAGACTTGGGTATACAAGCACCAAACATCTGAAAACAGGAGACTCGACGTCTTTCCCCATAACCCCCTTAGCAGTAAAAGGGGAGAAACTCCCCTCTGAAAACCTGAATTAAAAAAAAAAGAGGCCACTTCCACCACAACTGAGGAGGAAAAGTGGCCCCCGGGCTTATGGGTGTCACGGAGAAGCGCAGGAGCACGTGGCTACAGAAACGCTCCACCCAAGGAGCAAGAAGCGGGCTCAGCACCGAATGACTGAAGCCAAAGCAGAGCCCCGAGAAGTAGGAGGCAGTCAGGAAATACCTCCCCTCCGAGGATCAGAACTCCTCACCAACATGGGTAACACGAGAGACCACGAAAGTATCAGGAAAAGATTTCGGGATATTACTGTAACAAAGCTCAAAGAGATGCAAGAGAAAACAGACGACCAACTCCAGGACAGGAGAGAACGCTTCCATGAACTGAAGAAGGAACTCCATAAAGAGATAGAAGCCCTGAGAAGGAGTCTAACAGAACTCGGGAGACGGAGTGTGATGCAGGACATCAACCCCCCTTCTCCACAGAAGGAAGAATCTCTGGCCTTGAAGACAAAACCTCTGATTTGGTCCAAGCAACCAAAAAGAACAGGAGAATAACCATGAGAAATGAGGACCGTGTGTGGGGAAATCCTAGACACCACTCAACGGCCAAATATCCATATGATAGACATTCCAGAGGGCGAGGAGACAGATTAAGGCACAGAAAACATCTTCCATCATATAGTAGCTGAAAACTTTCCAAATTTAGAGAGGCATTTGAGCATGCAAATCCAGGAGATATGGAGGACATCGAATAGCTAAAACACGAGAAGATCCTCTCCAAGGACTATCCTAGCCACATTAGTAAACATCAAAGGCAGAGACGATGTTTCAAAAATGGCACGAGAGAAATGCCTTCAAGGGTATACTGGGAATGCTAACGGAGATCAACAGAAGTAAGAGAACACAAAACAACCAGAAAAAAAAGAAAAGCTAAGTCCACACATATTGGGACTAAATGCAGATCCAACAGTTTTACACACAAGCAGGTTTAAATACAAGTTCACCAATTACTGGGTGGACGGTTGTCTCTACAGGTTTCGGTCTACAGCTTCATTATAACTGTCACTCACTGTGTGGAGCTCGGTGACAGAGGGGAAGTCCAAAATGTGACAAGCAGCAGAGTCTTCCTTTGAAATAAATTTTAAAAAGGCTAAACTCAAAAACTTTGTAAAGCTTATAAATGACCCAGTCACTGGCTTTGCCATGTCTTCACTTGTTAAACAAGTCTTTCCAATTTTGACCTGTGCTTTTTGAAAGACTTGTTTCTTTACGCACAGTCTAGGACTATGGTTTTCCAAGAGCTCGCGGGGGGTGAGTGAAAGTTTTCTTTTTCTGCCTCTTCCAAGTGAGATATTGTAAAGTACAATTTTCCCTTTCTCTAGCTGGACCAATGATCCATACCCATAGTGTTTTGTTTGTTTGTTTGTTTTCAGATCATAAACTCTTATCTCCCACAGTCTTTTAAATAGAAGTGACACATTCTTCTTTCATTGGCTATGTTGGTTAGCTTTGTCCATCTATGAAATCATTTGTTGCCTGAATTTTAATCTGTATTTTTTCAGAGCTGCTTTCACAGTAAAGAACATTATAGAAAATTCAGTACGTACCTGCAGAATAACCTTCAGAGTGGGTTTCGGATGTTCACTGCATAATATAATGTTAAATGTTCAATATATTTATACCCTCAAAGCATGTATCCACCATATACACACTTTTAAAGACTACTCTGTACCCTGCAAAGATGTGTAGTGATTACACATAATTCATAAGTTACAATAAATACTTAAAGAGAAAAGATACTTAGGATGGTTTCTCCATGTTTTCTATATACGTACGTGTGTATTCAAAAAATGTACAGAAGAATGCTTCGTATTCTTTCTTTCTAGTTTGTTATGGGGCACATGTGTTCACCTGAAATAGACAGGGGACATGAAAAATCACCCCCGGGAGGAATGGCCATGCTGCAATCCCTTCTCCATTCTCCTCTCAGGGTTTTGGGAACACACACACACGTACCTGGCGTGATTCGAAGTCCCTGGGTCTGGGACCCGAACCATGCAGCTGACCGTGTAGGATCCAGCCTCCTTGACATTTACACCACCTACTGGTGAGTTTCTTGTTCTTTCTTTCTTTTTTAAAGAAATATTTCATTTTACTTATAGTATAATCTTTTTAAAATGTGACGAGAGAGAGAGCGAGAAGGAAAGAGAGGGAGAGAGAGAGAAAGTGAGAAGTTAAGCCGCAAGATCTGGGGCCCCAACTGAAGTTGGCCGCATAGGAGTCCAGCTCCTTAGCCACCACGCCACCTGCTGGTCTCGAGGAGGTCTCTTGATTTCAAGTCTGACCTTTTGCCAGTGCTTGGACTGTACTGGGGCTCCCAGCACCCAGCTGAGGAGAGGCCCCCGCAGAGCAGCCCTGGCCATAGGTGCAGAGGGGTGCGGACTCTGGGTGTTTCTTTCCGGTCATCCTGAGCTTCACGTACATTTTATTAAGGTCTTCTGCAAAAGAAAAGCCCTTACTTAGTTGTTCCTTTAGAATTTACATGTGGAAAGCCTGACTGTACGTGGGGCAGGAGGGGATTTAAATGTCACTTTCCTTTGTAAAAGATTTTTCGCTGAGTCATTTTTGAAGGACTCTGGACCCTGGGATAGATAATCATCAACTTCAAAATTCAAATTCACATTCAGAAACTGTAGCCTGGCTCTACAGTTTAACTTCTAACCTCATTTACAAATGCTCATGAGTCGTTCGTACACTTCAGTTTGACTTAGAAATCGGCTCAAGCTGTCTGTGTAGAAACAAAAATCCAACTTTGCTTCATCTATTTTGTTAGCTTTGAAATACTTAACTACAGATTAAAACATTTCCTTGACTTGGATCATAATCCTCATCTCTTTTAAAAACATGCATTTGTTGGGGCCAGCAATGGCACAGTGGTTAAGGCGCTGGACTCCCTTGTTGACGGTGGTGCAAGTCCCAGACCTGGTGGCTTGAAAATTACACCGGGTGCGTGTGCGTGCGTGCCCAAAATCCCAAGAGGAGAACGGAGGAGAAGGGACTGTGGCCTGGCCTTCTCCCCTTGGGGGTGATTTTTCACCTTCCCTCTTTCTGTCTCTCTCCAGTGAGTGTATGCACCTTACAGCAAAAACCTAAGAAAGAAAAACAGGAATGAGTATGCTTTCCTGAGGAAGAAGGTGTGAGGACCATCAGGAGCACAGAGAGCGAGGGTCTTCTCTTCCCCCAGTCACCGTCGGGGTGGCCAACAGCTGTGGTTAGTGAGCAGCCACATGGCGACTGGGCAGGACGTTCTGAAGATTCCAGTCCACGGCCCCACTGTGGTCCTAGGAAGCCTGTGGCCTCTCTGGAAGGCAGGTGGGCCCTGGCAGAGGGAGTACCTCCCCTGTGCACACCCTCCCCAGCCCCAATGCCCAGCAGGGACTCAGGTGACTTAGGAGCACGGTCAGGAGCCACAGAGCCAGCTTAGCTGCCCAGACAGGAGACTTGACCTAGTGGCAGCGGCCATTCTCTGGGACATCGTCCGAACTTTATTTTATTCGTGAGAGAAGAAAAATAAGCACCTTCGTCAGGGCTTCATCACACAGCGATCCCTGCCCCAGCCTGATCCCCCAGGATTTCGGAGATGTGCCCGTGAGCCCTGTGTGAGCCCAGTGAACACGGCCGTGGTCTGAATCACAGTGAGCATGTGACTTCCAGCACCGCAGTACAGAACGCTATCCCCGTGCCCGGGCCAGGCCTGGAGCTGGTGTTTCACACACAGCCCTCACCACGACCCTGTCTGCGGTGCTGTGGCAGCTGAGAACCTGAAGTCCTCATGGTTCTGGCAAATCCTTTTTTCTCCCAGCTCAAGCCAAACTCTCATCTTGCCTCTTTATGACAAAGGAGACTATTCTGGAAAACGACCTGGCAAATTCTGGTTGTGTGCTGGACATTGTTCACGGGTGGAACTGTGTCGCCGATGCCTTGCCTTGATCAGTCAAGAAAAATAATGCCTCTCTTACACAAGGCACTCGGACACTCAGTCAGGTGCTGTGCAGCCACACGGAGATGCATGTTTCCTCGAGACAGCTGTCTTCTAGTCTCCTTTGTTTCCAGGCCACTTATTTCAGCAACTGCAACACCGGGAATGTCTAACTGAAACTGCAGAAATCATGTCCTATTGAGGACACTGGCCAAGGAGGGGAAGGAGGACCGTGACGGACAGGGTCTGCAGGAGGACACGTGGCGGGACTCTGGTATGCTGACGGGCTGGCCTGCTCCAGGCTTCCAGACAGGACAGTACACGAAGCTACCAGGCCGTTGGAAAAGTCCTGATGTACTTTCCTCTGCGTTCCTATGCAAAAATGAATCGTGTCTTTTCAGATTATCCAATAAGCCAGTATCTGTCGCATAGGAAGGAGCTTGTAGCTCTCAAGAGAGACGGCGCTGTGCTCTTTAACCCGCACAGCCGTGCATTCAGACCACGCCGGCTTTTACCCCGATGCCTTCTGTCCTACCCAAGACGCAGAGCAAATGTGCTTCCCACCGTGCCATTGCTCGTGAGCCGAGGGAGCAGCGTGCAGGGGGTGAAAGGAGGGATTTAAGTCAGGGCTTAACGTTTTCAAAAACAATCATTTTATTTAACGTTAGCTATATATTAATTTCCTTATTTATTTTAATTTGACAGAGAGGGACAGAGTGAGAAAGAGAGGGGAAGTGAGAAAGCAAGTCGCCAGGTCCAGGACCAGCCCCTCTGTCGACCAAGTGGAGCCCAGTGCCCTTAACCACCACGCCACCTGCCGGCCCCCAGCTAATACTTTAGTGTTCAAGGCTTCTTACTGATAGCAGAGCATGCCAAGAGAGATTCTCAGCTGTTCTGGGGCTCTCCAGTCCCAAGGTACCTGGAGGGTTATCCGAAATGACTTCAGACCCCTGAAGCTATACAGAACGCCACTTTCGAGCTGCCGGATGACAGCACAGCTCCGTGGAGTTAATCTTTTCAGCGCATCGGGGCCCTGTTCGGAAAGCAGCCCTCACCTCCGGTGCAGACACAGTAACGGCACAGGGAACCCTGAGCACCGGCAGGGGCGGCCCCGCGGCGCCTTGACAGGCCCTACTGAATCGAACCTTCTTGTGTATGGAAAGGATACATAAGAAAAACACCCCTCAGCGTTTAAAGCCCATGAATGTAACTTGTCGAATTTAGAAGTCAAAAGAGAAAGAGTGGCCGCGTCATTGTTAGAGACGGCAGCGCGGGTTGGGGAGCGAATGGCGGGCAGCCCGCTAGGTAGGAGAGCTTGGTGGGGAGCTGGGCTCCTGGCGGTTCGGCCAGCTCGGGTGCATCATTCCAAAGCCGTTAGGAAAGGCGGTGGCAGCTCTTCCTGGAACCGCCCGATGGGGACAGAACACGAGCCGCTGACTGTCAGCTGTCGCCCGCCGCAGCCGGTCGGAGCCGCCCCGGGAGCCTGGTCGGAGCCGCACTGGAAGCCTGGCCTGCTGGCCTCTGCCGCTCTGGCCGCCGCGGGCCACCCAGGCTTCGGAGCTCTGCCTCCAGGAAGCCTGCGCTCCCGTGTTCTGCTGTTTGGAAACTCGGGCTTCCATCCCCAGACGGACAGCAGGGTCATCCCACTGCCCTCCTTCCTGCTCGGACGCAAAAGGAGAGGCCTTCCTGAGAGGGGAGAGAGGAGGGATTTGAGTAAGGGTTTTACTTTCCACACGCGTGAAAGTGTGTGCGTCACCAGTGTCCACACGCGTGAAAGTGTGCGTGTCACCAATGTATGCTCTCACAAAGTAAGCACACCACGTGACGGACACCCACGTCGAGAGCGACGTTTCCTGCACCCAAGGGCCCCCAGCCAGGCAGGACTCCTAGCCCTGCCCAAGGGAAGTCCCTAACTGGATCTTTAACAGGGTGGATGGTTTTGTCTGCGTTTAAGGCAGCAGGCGTGGACTTTCTGGCCGCGTCCAGCAGGGCCCGTCCAGGCGGCCTGTGCAGTGGCGAGGGCTCCGGCCCCAGCGCAGAGCTGCCGAGTCACGGTGCGGGAGGAGGGCCGGGCGCCCGGGCAGTGACAGTGCGGTTTGCGACTCCCGGTGCTCAGAGGCGGGTCAGGGCTTTCTCTTTGGCCCAGTCCTGAGTTTCCACTTGTCCGAACGTGAGATAAAAGGCCAGGCCGAACAGGTTGACCGCAGCGGACAGGAAAAAGACGTTCCTCCATCCGGACTCCGAGTCCTGGTGCAAAGAACGGGGTAAGGATCAGTCCCGCGCATCCTGCGCCAGCTCCGGGGAGCCTCTCTGTGGATCTGCCCAGTGTCAGAGTCATGGGAGAAAGTCTACCGAACTCCAATAGGCAAACGCTCTAAAATCCGTCTCCGAATTTGGATGGGTATTTCTTTAAACAAAAACAATGAAACTATACTCATGTTTTTCTGGAAATCTGGATTTTTAACGTTCGTGAAAATGAAGCGTTACTCACTGAAATGAGACTTCGAGGGGCGCCTGTGTGGTCTCCCCGCCCTCCCTGCTCTGCTCGGTCTGGGCGGACACCGCCAGCCCTCAGCCGTGAGCACCGGCCTGTGTGGCCTCCTCCCCAAGCACGGGAGCTACACGTCCCTCCCAGCACGGTGGCCCCGGGGGTTTCTAGCAATTCAGCCCCAGCCTGAGCCGGAGGCCAGATCCCAGAGAAGGCCTGGAAGGGGAGTGACCGTCAGACCGCCAGTTCTGCGGGCTCTGGGCCGTCTTCCTCGCGCCTGCGCTCCTGGCCGGACTCTCAGCCGGTCCCTCCACCTGGACTTAGCCTCTCTACACTGGCCCGGGACGCGTGATTGTTAAACCGGTAACTAACCTGCACAGAACCTTCAGGCCTGCCCCTGCGTCTCCATCCTGCCCCCCCGCCACCTCTCTCTTGCTCTTACTTCTGGTTAACCGGGGAATCACATTCTTTCTTTTTGTTTGAGTTGACTTACATATTCGAGGAGGGACAGAAACCGGGGGAGGTGGACAGCACCCACAGGTCTCCACGCCCTGGTCGGCCGCAGGCAGCTGGCCAGGCCATCGGTTAAAGCAAGAACTCTCCCTGCTTCTGTCCCTCTGGGAAGTCAGACCTCTGTGCTCTGACCTGCATAGCCCATGCCCCCAGCCCGACATTTATTTAACTATTTTACTTTCAGAGCTCCCAGGGTCTGATTTGGAGGCTCCCGTGTTGGGGCGGAGCCTGGTCCCTGTCATGCACAGTGGCAGGCAGGGCTGTATCCAGCGCCTGCAGTAGCACCGGCCAGTGCGCAGGGGCAGGGTGGCCAACCTGACTGATGAGGAATCCGGTCGCCGTGGAGGAGACGATCCCCGCGATCAGCCCGAAGCCCCTCGAGATGCCCATGAGGAAACTGGCGTACCTGTGGGAGAAGCCAGAGGCGAGGGAGAAAGGCCCGTGAGAGGCCAGGGGGCAGGAAGGCCGGTCCCTGCCCAGCTCGGCGCCCGGGCTCACCTGGGGGCCACGTCTAAGGTGTTGATGATGAACCCCGAGTCGCACAGGTTGCTGGTCCCAGGAATGAGTATCAGCAGGACAACGGTGGCCAGGGAGCTGGAAGCCACGTAGGGCAGGGCCACAGCGCAGAGCGATGGGAGGAGGAGCCCTGGGCGGGGAGGGGCGCGTCAGGGCCCACTCGGCCACGGCCACGGCCACGCTGCGCGCACGCCCAGCCTTACCTAGGGCCGAGAAGAGTTTCCGCACAGTGATCAGCCTCAGGAGGCTGCGGGACAGGAGGAGGTCTGCCAGCTGGCCCCCGAGAATCGTGCAGCTCCAGGCTGCGATGAACGGCAGGGAGGACAGGAATCCGCTCTGCGGGAAGGACAGCGACACTGGGACGCAGGCGCCGCCAGGGTGGACGGTTCCGCAGACACCCCTCCCTGCTGATGTGGGTAGTCGGGCTTGCTTCCCTCCCGGTCAGAGGGCCACGCTGCACCTCAGGCCCAGAGCAAAGCCGCATGGACTCGTGGGAGGGACTAATGCGGCGGCGGCGGGGCTGTTGTGCAGCGTGCTGGCTAGGGACGCGGGTGCCACGCACGGCCACCTCACAGCACCGTGACCCGCTGGTGCCACGCCGCCACCTGCCTGGTCCTCTCTATGGGACGGGTCCCTGGGCCGCCTCTCAAGGCCATCGGGAAGGCCAGTCGGTGGCACGCTGGGCGCAGATGCAGCCCTGCCGGGTCCCGCGGTACACTCACGTCTCTGACGCTCACGCGCAGCACGGTGCTGAGGTACATGGGCAGGTACGTGACGATGATGGTGCACAGCCAGAAGTGGCTGAAGAACCCCGTGAAGATGGCCCACAGAGGGAGGCACCGGGCCATGGCCCTGATGGGGACAGAGCGCCTAGAACCGGCCTGGAAGGAAGCAGGTAATGGGCCGGGTGTCGCGCAGACCAGACGGTGTGGGCCGGGGGTCCCGCCAGCAGCCCGCGTCCTACCTGGGGGGCCAGTGCCGACAGGATGTGCTCCTTCTCCCTGAGGCTGATGCAGGGGTGCTGCGCGGGGTCGTCGTAAACCAGCAGGAACCACAGGAGGCAGCAGACGCAGCCGGAGGTCCCTGGGGGCGGGGGTCAGCGTCAGCGCCCAGCGGGGATGTTCACGGCTGCTCCCCCCGGGGACCCGGACCCTCCCATGGCTTTCCTTCATCCTTCTGCAGACTTCCTGCTGCCGCATTCCGGACACTGCGGTCAAATAGCGTCTCCACACGTCACCGTGGGCCCGTGGCTCCAGGACCCCGTGGTCGAGAGTGACGTCTTACGGCCACTTCCCAAGGTCACGTTATGCTCTCGGTTTGGAAAACGCGAGCAGGCAGGTCTGAGGACAGCAGACGCGTGTGCGTGTGCGTGTGCGTGGACGACCTGCCGTGAGAGCCCCGTGAGATCTGCCGGCAGGAGGAAGTCCCAGCACCTTCGTAAGAGCTGGTGCCACCGTACTTCCGCTCCGGCTCCCAGTGACACATGTGAACACGTGTGAACCCGGTGACTGGTTGGCACCACTCACGACAAAGAGCCGTGTCTGCGACACCAGGCAACCCACCTGCCGCGCTTCGTCTCGCCACCGAGACTTGCCATTTGAAGGAGACTGTGTTAAAGATCTGGGAAACCGACGTTCTTTAAAATCCCTCTGCTTATTGTACCCACCCGTTGTTTCTCAGGCACGTAAAATTTGCCAGAAGGCATATGCAGTCCCAGGGAGGGGGTAGCCGGGCACAGCCATGCCACACTCTCTCCTCGGTTTCTCCATGCTATTGGGATTGTGGACAGGCACACACCTGCGAGTGGCAAGGGTTTTGAGACATCGGGGCTGGGATTCGAACTATGTAGTTGGCCATGTGTGATCTGGGTGCCTCAACCACCAAGCCACGAAGCTGTCCTGCCCGGTTTTAACAATTTCAAAGCAAGGGCGGCATGTGGTGACACAGGAGGACCGTGCCTCAAGCATCTCAGCGTATCAGAGGGACCAGCTCCACCTGCGGGAGCTGTGGGTGAGGGTCACAGAGGAGAGAGCGGCTGGGTGGGATGGGGAGGGCCACCCGGGAACTGAGCTCCGTAAGAGTCACCTGGCGGAGAAGAGGGCACGGGCATGCTGGGCAGAAATGACAACTCGAACGAAACGTGAGGACGCGTCGGCAGGGCCCTCACTGCTTCGACACCTTAACCAGACGGTGCCTCGACAGCATTTAAGAGCAGAGGGCCCGTCCCCCAGGTCCTGCTTCAGCAGGGGGCAAGGCCGCAGCCTGGGTCCCGACGGCGTGCTGTGCAGGCAAGCCTCTGCCCCACGACGCAGCTCCCCAGAGCCGGGGGCAGTGGAGTGTGCTGTGTGGACTCGGAAACTTCACAAACGACGTCTTCTCCCACATGAGACCGGTGTGCGTGACATGGACGTCACATGCCCGCGCGGGGGACGGAGGTGTTGGGAGCTCCCAGAAGGGACTCACCGAAGATGTAGAAGATGAAAGGCCAGCCCAGGGCTTGGGAGATGAGCCCCCCTACACAGAGGATGATGAAGGACCCGAACGCTGCTCCTGAAGAGAACGAGAGAACGCCAGTGAGGACGGCCGAGGTGAGACCCCACAGCTTCCTCGGCCGCTGCCCGGCAGCGAGGGGCAGGCGCGGAACTCCTGGGTGACGAGTCTCTCCTGCTCGCAAAGGCCCCGGGAAGCCTGTGATGTGGGGAGGGTCAGGGAGCGGCGGGGGGGCGGGGG